TTTTTTTCTTTTGTTAATAATGTATCCTCATTTTCTGCTTATTGTTCACCCTAAAAATGCTGTATTGAAAACTGATAATAAGAAGTGTAATGGCAAAATCTGCTTAATAATAGGTAATGGTAATATTAAAGTGATATTTTATTATTGTTGATTATCGCTTCAAAAATATAAGATCACATTGTCGTTGATAAAAAAGCAAAAGAAAAAAGTGAAAGTTGTTGTCAACAAAGATGCTTTATTCTTGCAACTGATGAAAAGCAACATATACTGTACTTATTTAAGACTAGTTACTTCGTATAAGTAAGCTAAAAAAAATAAACATAGATATCGGACCGTATTTTGATAGAATTCAGAAGTGAAAACCTGATGATTTCTTTATCTTCTCTTCCCTTTCCTGCCCATCTCCGTCTTCTTTCTCTTTCTCTTCCTTGTCTTCTTCTTCTTCTTTCCTTTTGTTCAACTCTTGCTTTCCTTTGTCTTCTCAGTTTGTCATCTTTTTCCTTCTGTTCACAACCTTTTGATTTTGTTTATTTATTTTTCTTTCATGTCAGCGATTGTTAAAAAAAGGAATAAAGTTGTATTAGTTTCTTCAGTGATGTGATTTGATCAACTACCACAGCGTGATAAGGACGGAAAATAATAAAATCATTGGCACAACGAAGACAGATGCTGTATTCGTGCTGGAAACAGCGATGTGTCGAATCGGATTCATCGTCTAAGTAGCCAGATTACCATTATTCCTCATTGATTCATAGACAACTATGAATTTACAGTTCTTTAAACGAAATTTTTGGACGTACATAGAAGAGAACATAGTTTAATAAACAAGTCACTGACATTGGGAAATAGAAGTATCAGATAAAAAAAAAAAACAATTTTTACTGAATCTCTGTTGCCACTGCTATGCGATAGTTAAATTTCTTATCTACTGACTTTTTTGTTATTTTATTTTTTTAAGCTAATTCTAGGCTAAGATTAACGCAATAAGGAAAAGTTTAGGTCATTTATTTAGAATATATACACTTCTTTAGCTCATAAGGTAAAAAACAATTTTTTTACACTTGGTATACGAAAAAAATTCCCCCAGTCGAGATTACAGTGTTGAAATTGTTGTAAATCACGGGCACAATTTTTTTTTGCTTAGCAGTCGGCGTAACTGCAATTTTTCTCATTTTCTCTTTGTTGGTTATTAAACAAAAATTTTGTGGTAATTTGTTCGATTAATTGTCGCTGATCTCAGTGTTTGTATTCTGTTTTTGTTTAATAATGTTTGCTCTTAATGTCTAATTAAAATCATACTTTAAAAATAAACTAAATTTAAGAAAAGAAAAAAATTTTTTCTAGATAATAATAGCAATAAGCTGGTAATACGGCAGTTCAAAAAGCAAAAAAATTAAAATACAAATAAGCAAACCCTACTGGTTTATCGAAAAGGTTGACAGAGAAAACTGTGATTTGAGTAATCAACAGAAAAATCTAAAATTTTTTAAAATTTTAGTTTTAAAAAATAATTTGACTTTTGTACTGGTTATCGTTACCAAATTAAAAAAAAACTAGAATATATCTTAAATTTAATTAAAAAATATTTGCAGTTTTATCTAGAAAAAATTATCTGCTGTTGTAAAAAAGAATAAATTTTTTTAACAATACCTTCACTGGTTTATTAGTTTTGATCAGCTATTGAAAACTTTTTCGCGTTCTGGTAAACTATTTCTGATCAGTTTCTTCAGCAAACTTTTTTTGAGCACTGAAAATAACTGATACATTGCATCAACGTTGTATGATAACTGTAAATTTGACTGTAGTTGAACTGCAATTCAGAATCATAAATCAAGTCAATGAAGGCGACTTGAAGTGCTATACCCGTGTAGAGTACAACTTCAATAAAAAGGCTTATCATTATTGGAAGTTGCGTAAAGCATAATTTATCAGGCCATATATGAATTCACAAATTGTAGTGCTAGTCTTGAAATGTTGATTAAACAGTCTTATGTTCTATAATCTAAAAAGTAAGCTAGACGAAGTTTAAAAGAGAATAATTTTGATAAATTATACAGAATGTTTTATAAGTTCTGATCGCCACACCTCAGCGACCAACTTTGGTTCAAATAATATGCCGCCTGTAA